TCTTCCGCCGTTGCCCACGGGGGCTCTGCCCGCGCCGTAAACTGCAACGTGAACTGTATAGGCCTACGAAGACATCAAAGTGCAGTGCCGCCAATGATGATTCAATTGCTTTTCGCAGCGGCTTGCTCCCATGCCTTATTCACTTGCACCTGGCATCATACTGCGTGAAAAGCAATTGTGTCTATATTCTTTGCAGCTCGGCTTCTCTATACTCTCTCGAACTCTGTACACTTTCAGGACAATCTGGCTGGCAGGCAGTGCTTCCTGCCGATGCTCCCGATGAACCGCCAGTCGCGGTCACGCTGCACGCGTGACATTGCAACATACATAGCTGCGCGAACCCACGGGATATCCAACCAGATTGTCACGTGTGAGAGTGTTGCACCCTGGACTTTGTGCAGGGTGGTGCTGTATCCAAGGCGGAGCGGGAAGAATGTTACTCGGTGACAGGAGCCGTCGCTTGTCTGGATGTCTCGAGTGATCGGATGTACGAGAAGAACCTCCCCGGCATCGGTGATGACCTGCACCCCGCTTGTCCTCATTCGCTGCACTGTCGCTGCCATGCCGTTGACGAATCCTCTCTCTTTGTCCTCGTTACTGGTGATTCTCACCCGCAGGCCCTCGTAGATCATAAGCCAGTGAGGACGGACGGCCACTTGCTGTTGTCCGTGAAAATTATCCATGTTCTCCTCCGGATCGCAAGGAATGCGGTCCAACGGCTCCGATCGTGCGAAGAGAGACTGCACTGCAAGCTGGTTTAGCCTGGTAGAACCACGCCTGGAGACCGTGAGGAAGGTCGTCTCTGGTGTTTCCCGCAAAATGTCAGCAACGTCATCGGCTGTAGGTGCACTGCTGCCTCGTGGACGATCTCGCGGCCCTCTATGGTTTTTCAGGATTTGCTTGAGCTGCTTCTTGGATGGAATGGCGCTTCGCAGCAGCTGCAACTTCCATTTGAGACGCTCGCATTTGCAGCGACGCATCTCGTGCAGCGCCATGATATGCATTTGATCCCACCTGAGACTGTCTCTCGCCGTGGTGCCATCCACCCCCGTCAGCTGGCAGAAGTCGCCCACGAAGACGAGAGCGGGCCGACGGTCCGCTGCATCCCACAGCCGTAGAAGCCTGTCGAAGATTCTGGTCGAGAGCTGCCCCACCTCGTCGATCACGATCATGTCGTATATCTTCATCATATCGAGCGTGGTGGCCTCGTCTTTGTGGAGGGCAAACATGCCGTGCACGGTGTCGATGTCCAGATCCGGGTGTCGAGTTTTGTACTGAGTGGCGAGCATGCCAGTGGGGCAGGCTACACCAACGTGCGCACCGTTTCGAACCGCATGCTCCAGGGCAATCTCCACCGCCGTGCTCTTGCCGCTGCCTGCTGGACCCAGCACTACCGACACCTTGTTTTGAAAGGGTCTACGTTGATTTTGGTCAAGCCAGACGCCCCATGCTTCCACTTCGTTCGCATCGCTAGGCCACTTAGCCTGCAGAGCTGCTTCCACGCGATTCGTGATTGTTTGGATGATGAGCTTTTGCTCTGCCGCAAGCTGGATCGTTCCACCTGAGGTCGAGGCAGAACCATGTAATGCAGGGCTTGGGTTCTCGGCTAACGTCAAGTCTCCGGAGAGGTATGCATCTATCAGCTCCACTCGGCCTTGCAGCATGCTCAGGAAGTTTTTGATGTGCAGGTCCGTACGAGCTTCTTGCTCCATTTCGGCTGCTGGACGATCAGGATTTCTCCAGAAGGCTGGACGATGTAAGAGGCACAGTCCAAGGTGTCGCAGACTATGCGGCAGTCGTTCTGCGTCGGGGTGCCACAAGTCGTCCACCTTGCGAAATGGCACGTTCAGAAGCAGCCACTGGCCGTAGAATCGGTCGCTCATTCGACTGTTTGTGATGGCGGCAACCAATGTCTGCCCATCTGCAGGTTGACTGTTGATCCAAGTTTCCAGGGGAATCTGAATCTTGCGAGAGCGATGCTCCCGCCGGTATCTCTGCGAGATCTGCCCATTGGAGCCAGATTTGCGTAGAAACTCCAGCAAGCTCATGTTCTCCCTTCGCCACGTACAAGTCATGTAGCACTGCACGATGTCCGGCATATCCCTCTCCCATGGCACTGGAACGATGAACTTCCGAACAATACCTGGACAGATGAACTGGGAGTGCTGCTGCGCGGCAAGTTGCATGACCATCTCTGGCTGCAGCGGGTGATAGTCCGAAAGAATGCGACGCGCCAACGAGAAATCGCTGGCATGATCGTTCAGCAATTCCTGCGCAAAGGAGCTGCTGAATTTCGGAAGATAGCCTGCAAGTCGTGTTCATGGACGCTCTTAGAGCAAATTAGCTCTTGCGTGGGAAGATTCTCTAGCTGCTGAAAGAAGAGGGCGGATGTAGATCTGTTATAAGGACGAATGTTAGCCACATGAACACAATAGCGCTGCTGGGCTTTTGCCGAGGAACTGGCGCAGTACTTGAGTACCATAGCCCGTCCGTCTGACGCCAGAACATCGACGTGGCAGCGCAAGGCCGCCAAGACGTCCGGCAAATAGGCGCGACAGCATTTCTCGAAGGCATTCCTGGGGTGATGGAGCTGGATAGTTCCTGTGCTGGTGACGTGCGTGGGTTTCTCGCGAACTGGCCAGCCACTGGAGTGCCAGTCAAGTTGCGAGCCAAGCACGAGATCCAGCATCTCTGCATCATCTGGGTGCGGCAAGTCAGCTCGAATGTTCGATGCAATCTCCGCATGTTGTACTTGGTCAAGCCAAAGAAGGACGTGAACGTGTGGTGTTCCGCGCCCGTGGTAGAATCGAGGGTCACGATGGACGCCGCGTTTGCGCTTGCCGTCTTGAAACTCGAGCCTGGCCACCCAATAGCGCACACCTCCGCGCCCATGGTCAGATGCGAAGATGCCTTCTTTGCCACCCGCCAGCAATCCCTTCACTGCTTGGGTGAGAACGTGGGCCAAATGCAGGGTTTCCGCCACGGGCATGTGCAAGCGCTCCTTCAGGCTCTTGGCAAGCTCGTCCTGTGGCCATAGACGCATGATTTCGGCTGGTTTTTATTATCTTGCGTGCTCGCTTTGTTGCTTAATGCTACTAATTAGTTCGGTGTCTTTTATCTGTGTCGCACTAACAAACCAGATTTGATTCAGCCCGACACGGTCCTCTAGCCAACGATGGTAGGGGAAAGACCACTCATAGGGCGCTATGGTAATGAAGAGGCTGGGCCATCCTATCTGCTTCTGCAGGTCCACCAGCGCCGTGTGATAGGTGCGCCACACTTCCGGCGAGTACGGCTTGCTGGCCAATGCCTCCCTAATGCCGACGCCGGCCGAGTTTTTGGCCCCGCCCAGAGTGGTGAACAACCAGAGGTCGTAGACAAACTGTAGCAACTTGTCGTCAGAGTTGTATCCGATCAGTGCCGAGTGTACTTTGGCCAGGAAGCTCGCCTTAGCACTTTGCCTTGTACCTACCAAATTTCCTGTGTCAGCATTGTCTCCCTCATCTTCTGCACTGTCTGCGTCCAGGGACTGTCGAACCCGTCTGAGTCTCCTGGCATCCTGAGATCTAACATACGTTTCTGTCATATCAAGAGACCAGTATAGGTGCGGCCACAGCGCGCACTCCAGTCCCACGGTCTCGATGAAATTGGCTGGCATCCGCTTCACTGGTGCTCCAACCCATGTCTCCCCTCGCTGGATGGCACGGTCCCTGCCATGCAGAAACCGATGATGCAATTGCCAAAAGCGAGCGTAGGCAGAGGGGCTGTTTGATCGAAGCAGGTACAGGAGGGCTTTTTCTCCTCGTCGACGCTCTCTTTTCGGCAGCTTTGCCAAGGCTTCCTCCACCGAGATTTGCTTGAAGGAGAACTGCATCATGTCGCTGTGGACCAGGTATCCGTTCGGTGCTCGGAACATACTGCCAGTGTGCACGTCAAAGGGCCGCAGCGCTTCGATAGTCCTGGCAGAAAGCTTCCGCAATTTGCGTGGCACGTCTTCTGGGGTTGGAGCCCAGTAGCCCTGGCCTCCTGCCGACTTGCAATAGCTGCACACTGGGAACTGTGGGTTCCTCTTTGCCGAGCCCTTGGCGTGACTGGCTTGAAAAGGCTTTGGCGCCATGCGCTTGCATTTGGAGCAAGCGCGCCACGAATCCTCCAGGCACCACGCGCGGAAGGCTGCCGCACGAGGAGGCATCCACTTTGACTCCTCACGAGCATCTTCGGCGTAGATGGAGGGAAACTTGCGCCGCAGGCGTTGTTTTTGCTTTCTCTCCTTGGCGTCGAAAGCGGATCGGGCTTGTTCATCTGCGCGTGTAGGCGCCTGTCGGTGTTCCAGCACTTCTTCCCATGATACTGTTGCAAGTTTGCGCTTCTGTCCACGCGGCGCAAACCTGCATGCCACGTGGGGCTCGAGCATGTTCTGGATGCACTGAAATGCTTTGCTGCGCAACGCAGCATCTCTGTGTGCTAGTCTGGTCAGCGCTCTGTGAATGGCTTTACCATCATGCGCGTGTAATGCTGCAAGCAAAGCATCCTTGGAGCAGAAGAGGCAGTGCTCGAACTTCTTGCCATCTGAGTGACGCACATATGCCTTACCGCATCCTCCTTTCTTGCCCAAGCCAAAGTTGCAATCGACGCGTGCGCATTCCGTGGCAATGGGGCGCTTCTTGGGGGTCCTTTTGGTGTTGTAGTGGTTCAGGTCCACCCAATTGACGGTCCCTACCGGGCGTTGATATGGCACCGGCTGCGAGTAGGCTCGGACATCCGTTAGGATCCAGGCATATATTGTTTCGTACTCGATGACGTCCAGGTTGTCGATCATGTGCTGCTGGCGGTTTGCCTCGAGTTCCTCTCTGCTCACACGACGGCATTCTCGAATTGTCATCTCTCCGACAAGCATGCCAGAGCCGGATTCTGCAATGCAGATGGGCTCGTTCAAGTGCTTGCGACAGGCTTGACCACGAATTTCCCACGTCTTGCCCTGGTAGAGGATCTTGTGGCAATACTCTGGCAGGACGGTGAGCGCAGAGCCAGGAGATTGTCGACTTTTGGCGTGCCCATACGGATTCTCGAGCAATTTGATCTGCCTGT